TTTCTGATCCAAACCGCTAAATCACCCTCAATCCCATGCCTCCGTATGTTCTGCAATAGCCTACCATGGGGAACCTTATCAAACGCTTTACTGAAATCCAAATACACCACATCAACCGCTTTACCCTCATCCACCTGTTTGGTCACCTTCTCAAAGAACTCAATAAGGTTTGTGAGGCACGACCTACCCTTCACAAAACCATGTTGACTATCCCTAATCAAATTATTCCTTTCTAGATGATTATAAATCCTATCTCTTATAATCCTTTCCAACACTTTACCCACAACCGAAGTAAGGCTCACTGGTCTATAGTTACCAGGGTTGTCTCTACTCCCCTTCTTGAACAAGGGGACAACATTTGCTAGTCTCCAGTCTTCTGGCACTATTCCTGAAGACAATGACGACATAAAGATCAAAGCCAAAGGCTCTGCAATCTCCTCTCTAGCTTCCCAGAGAATCCTAGGATAAATCCCATCCGGCCCAGGGGACTTATCTATTTTCACACCTTCCAGAATTGCTAACACCTCCTCGTTATGAACCTCAATCCCGTCTAGTCTAATAGACTGTATCTCAGTATTCTCCTCGATTACATTGTCTTTCTCCTGTGTGAATACTGACGAAAATATTCATTTAGCACCTCTCCTATCTCTTCGGACTCCACGCACAACTTCCCACTACTGTCCTTGACCGGCCCCAATCTTACTCTAGTCATTCTTTTATTCCTGACATACCTATAGAAAGCTTTCGGGTTTTCCTTGATCCTACCTGCTAAAGACTTCTCATGTCCCCTCCTGGCTCTTCTTAGCTCTCTCTTTAGGTCCTTCCTGGCTAACTTGTAACTCTCAAAGCTTATAAAGCTTCAGCATAACTTCCCTGCTTTTGTCCTCAGTACCTCTATTTACGAAACTTCAAATCCCAAACATTTTGCTAACTCATTTCTCAATATATGTGTTGATGGGCTGAATGGCCTACTTCTGCTTCTGTGTTTTATGATCAAATAGTCTTATGTCCTACCACCTTCAAAGATAATCGCACATGCACACTCAAGTTCTAGAGTCCTTCTGTAAATGTTGGTTTATCTAATCTGTCCTCAATTTCTATCCTTCCAAGTACCAACTACATTCATACTCAATCTCTACTACATACCTTCCAAGGTCAATGGGTCCTTACTGAGACCAACAACTCTTCCAGTAAATCATTAATCTTTGGTTTCCTCACTTCTTTAACTTCAAAAAGCAGAAAAATTGGGAATGTAACAATCTAACGTATGTCAATCATTCAAATAAAATGGCCTCACTTACCTTGTAAAGTAGCCCCTACAAACTGCCCTTTGTTATTCCTTCCACAGCTCGTTATGCTACAAATGGAAGTGAACTTACTCCATTGTAAAGTGGAGCTTTATGTCTTTGCCATTGCTCAGTTGGCCAGTACAATGTTCAATCTCACCTTTTTACCAGTCTATCCTTTTCCCTCAACAGCCATTAACATTTATTGAACCTCAAGTCTGGTCAAGAGTTGCATACAGTTTCCACTTTTAAAAGGACTCTTCTCCCTGGCTCTAGACATGATACCAAAGGACGTTTATCATTTGATGAGTGATTTCCTCTCTCACTTCCAGTTTCAGACTCTTCTTTGCAATCTGTCTAGATAGAGTCATTGAGTCATTCAGCATGGAAACGGACCCTTTGGTCCAACTTGTCTGCACTGACCACATATCCAAATCTGACCTAATCCTGTTTGCCAGCATTTGCCCCATTTCCCTGTAAACCCTTCCTATTCATATACCCATCCAGATGCCTTTTAAATGTTGTAATTGTACCAGCCTCCACCACATCTTCTGGCAGCTCGTTCCATACATGCACCACCCTCTGCATGAAAAAGTTGCCCCTCAGATCTTTTTTAAATCTTTCCCCTCTCACCTTAAACCTATGCCCTCTAGTTTTGGACTCCCTTACCCTGGGGAAAAGACCTTGACTATTCATCCTATCTATGCCGCTTGTGATTTTATAAACCTCCATAAGGTCACCCCTTCAGCCTCCAACGCTCCAGGAAATAAAAGCCCCCGCATATCTAGCCTCACCCTATGACTCAAACCTTCCAATCCCAGGAACATTCTTATAAATCTTTTCTGCACCCTCTCAAGTTTCTCCCTATGTCTAGATCACTACAGCTGTGGTCAGAACTTTCTTCTCCTGTCACTCCTAAATTCTCTGAGAAACCGGCTGATTGGAATCATGTTGTGTATGGTGTCTGTTGTGTTTTCCTTCTCTTCCTTTATTTTCAGTTATGACGGTGTTCTGAGTTTTTCAGTTGTAAGAAGCTCTGGATGGTAATTGCCTTCTGTGTATTGCTTATAATCAGTGCTGTCTCTTTGTACAGATCACAACTGTGGCTCAGGGAAACTGTCCCTCAATGAACCAGGAGAACGGGGTTCAGTGACACAGTCAACATGTTCCACTGCAAACAGGACAAGGCCCCAAACAAACAAGGTAAGTGTATGGAGAACTCATTTCACATAGAGGCGGCTTTTAAAGGTTAAGAAAGTGTGAATAGGGTGAAGTTGCTGGTTTAATTTTTGTAGAACTGGAATTAAAGTCACTTCGAATGCACCAACTTTCAGACTGAACAGGGGAGACCTTGGTGTGTGGTGGAATATCATCCAGATCAGAGGCTTGGAATTCTGTGGTAGGTAATTTACCAATTGACTCCAATAACACTCAAAAAGCTCAATACCATTCACCTGATTGGCACACAATCTATGACCTTCAACATTCACTCCCAATACCACCAACGCACAGTGCACCATTGACAAATTGACAAGGCTTCCATAACAGCAGCAGCAAAGAAAGAAAGAGAGAGAGAGAGGAGCAGCTGAAAGACAGAGAAGCAAAGAGATGGGGGAGTGAAGAGAAAGGAGCAGCAGAGAAAGAGAGAGAGAGACAGGCACAGCAGAGAGAAAGAAGAGCAGAGAGAGGAGTTAGAGAGAGAAACCACAAGTAAGAATAAGAGCGATGGAAACACAAAAAGAGGAACAAGACGGAGAGGTACAAAGGAATGGGGAGCAGAGTGAGACAGCAACGAGGGAAGAAGCAGAGAGAGATGGGAGTTGAAGTAGTTTGCATTTAGCAAGGCCTTTGACAAGGTCCCACATGCGAGACTGATAAAGAAGTTCATGGAAAAGCTCATGGGATCCAGAGTAACTTGGTAAGATGGACCCACAATTGGCTTAGTGACAGGAGATAGAGGATATTGGGAGAAGGCTGTTTGTGTGGTTGGAGCCCAGTGTGCAGTGGCATACCACAGAGATCAGTGCTGGGTACCTTATTGTCGGTGATATTCAAAAATGATGTTTGCAGATGATACGAAGATTGGCCAGGTGGTTGACAGTGAGGAGGAAGAGGTTAGCTTACAGGAAGATATAAACAGATTAGTCAAATGGGCAGATCAGTGACAGCTGGAGTGTGACTGGTAAATGTGAGGTGATGCACTTTGGAAGAAGAAACATGACAACAGAGTGCTCAATGAATGGCAGGACAGTAGGAAGCTCAGTGGGATCTTGGGGTGCTTGTCCATAGATCCCTGAAGATGGCAGGACAGACTAATATGGTAATTAAGAAGGTATATGGGATGCTTGCCTCTATCAGTTGTGACATGTATTGTAAGAGCAGGGAGGTTGTGTTGGAACTGTATAGAACTTTTGTTAGGCCAAAGCTGGAGTACTGTGTGCAGTTCCAGTCTCCGCGCTATATGGGATGTGATTGCGCTGGAGAGGGTGCAGAGGAGATTCACCAGGATGTTGCCTGGGATGGAGCATTTCAGCAATGAAGGGAGGCTGGATTAGCTCAAGTTATTTTCTCTGGAGCAAAGGAGTTTGGGGGGGAACTGTAAGAGATGTATAATATGAGGGGCATTGACAGGATGAAAACAGCTGTTCCCCTTAGTTGAAGGGTCATTACAAAGGGAGCATAATTTTAAAGTGAAAGGCAAGAGATTCAGAGGGGATTTGAGGAAAAACCTTTTCACCCAGAGGATGGTTGGGGTCTGGAATGCACTGCCTGGGAATGTGGTTGAGACAGGAAACCTCAAACCTTTAGACAGTAGTTGGCTGAGCACTTGAAGCATCAGAACTTTTAAGGCTATGCGCCTAGTGTGGGAAAATGGAACAAGTATCAATTAGAATCGATTTTAATGACTCTTCTCTGCTGTTTGATTCTGGGAACAGAGAAAGAGAGGAACAGCACAGACAAAGATGGAAATCGCAGAGAGAGGGGAGCAGAGACAGAAGGAAGCAGCAGAGAGAGAGGGGTACAGAGCGAGAGAGGGAAACAGCAGAGAGAGAAGCAGTGGGGAGAGAAAGAGGTGCAGAGAGGTATGAGAGCAGCAAGGAGAGCACCAGGTAGTGACCAATGTAACAATCACACACAACAGCCATTATCACTGGCACACACAGAGTGATCCTGCAACTCACTGAGCACCACTTACACAGCTCCCAGATGGCTTCTGTCAATTTAGACCGTCCCATTCAGCAATGAGAATCAAGTCAAAGGGACTTTCAAAAATCCCAGGTGATATTTGAAGACTTTAATTACCAAATAATGATTGAAATAATATTATAGTAGAGAGTTAGGAGGAGGAGGAATTTCTGAAATTTGTTCAGGCAAGCTGAACTTGGTTTTGGCAGATCTGGTGCTGGGCAATGAGGTGAATCAAGTGGACCAAGTGTCTGTGGGGAGTATTTGGTTAAGAGTGATCATTATATTCTACGGTTTAGATTAATAATGGAGAAGTAAGGAACAAGTTAATCTAGGAAGTCTAACTTGGAAGACAGCTAACTTGAATGTAATGGAAAGCAATCTATCCAAAGTAAAATGTAACCAAATACTGACATTAAAATGACAATAAAACAATGGGTGATCTTTAAGGAAGAGATGCTTCAAGTAAAGACTCGAAATATTCTCAACAAGGATAAACAGTAAGGGAACAGAAATCAGGGCTCCTTGTATGATGACTGAGATAGAGATTATGATGAAACAAAAGACAAGTGTGTGCGACAAATGTCAGGTGAATTCTTCACGTAAGACCCAGGTCAAACTCAATCAGTTGAAGGGAGGAGTAAAGAATAAAATAAGACTGACAAAAGGAGAATAGGAGAATAGAATGACAGTTGTAAAAAGTACCCAAAAATCTACTGACGGGAATGTAGGTAGAGTGTGTCCTACTAAGAGCAAAGAATGTGCTACATACTTAGAGGCAGAAGGCTAGGCTACAATAATTTATATTAGTTGTTACTAAGGAAAAGAAATCTGCCAAATATTGGTCTAAGTGGACGGGGTAGAAGCAGTGGATGAGCTGAATATTGAGAAGGAAGAGGTACTAGAAAGACTGGCTCTCCTCAGAATGGCTAATTGACTGGTCTGGATGACTTTGTTAAAAGCCCTGTTGGGAGCCTTTCTGTCAGCAGATGTAGAATAAAAATGATAATCTACTATGAAGTGCTACTAAAGAGCTTAGTGAAGGTGCTTGCTGTCTGAGGTAGGTCTGAGAGCAGGAGTATAGGGTTCTGTGACATAAATCCGGTCTCAGCTGAAGAATTATTCAAGTGTTCCGATTCTTTGTGACTTGCACGTTTTGTCTCTGGTAGTCTGTGACAAGACGGATCATTCACATCTCCGCGGAGCAGAAGAGGCGTTTCAACATCAAACTAGGCTTTGATACCTTGCACAGTCTGGTGACATCCCTTGACTCACAGCCAGCTGTGAAGGTGAGTGTATTCTGCCCCTTTATATTGTGATTGTGTGTGCGTGTGCGTGTGCGTGTGTCTGTGTGTGCATGTGCATTTTTCTGTGTACATGTGTGTCTGTATGAATATGTCTGTCTGTTGATAATATGAAAATTGACATAGAGTTATGCAGCACAGAAACAGACCCTTCTGTCCAACTCATCAATGCTGCCAGATATCCTAAACTGATCTAGTTCCATTTGCCAGCATTTGGCCCATATCCCTCTAAACCATAAGACCATAAGACATAGGAGCAGAAATCAGGCCATTCGTCCCATCGAGTCTTCTCTGCCATTCAATCATGGCTGATAAGTTCCTCAACCCCATTCTGCAGCTTTCTCCCCATAACCCTTGATCCCCTTGATAATCAAGAACCTATCTATCTCAGTCTTAAATGTACTCAATAACCTGGCCTCCACAGCCTTCTGTGGCAGTGAATTCCATAGATTCACCACTCTCTGGCTGAAGAAGTTTCTCCTTATCTCTGTTCTAAAAGGTCTTCCCTTTACTCTAAGGCTGTGCTCTCGGGTCCTAGTCTCTCCTACCAATGGAAGCATCTTCCCAACATCCACTCTGCCCAGGCCATTCAGTTTTCTGACCCTTTCTATTCATACACCAGTCCAGATGCCTTATAAATGTTGTTACTGTACCAACCTCCACTACTTCCTTTGGCAGCTTGTTCCATGCACGCATAACCCTCTGCGTGAAAAAGTTGCCCCTCAGCATCTTTTTAAATCTTTCCCCCCTCACCTTAAATCCATCCCCTCTAGTTCTGGACTCCCCTACCATGGAAAAAGGTCTTGCCCTGCATGATTCTATAAACCTGTATAAGGTCTCCCCTCAGCTTCTGACGCTTCAGGGAAAACAAGCCCCAGCCTATTCAGCAACATCCTCGTAAATCTTCTCTGGACCCTTTCAAGTTTAGCAACATCTTTCCTATAACAGGGACACAGTATTCTAAAAGTGGCCTCACCAATGTCTTGTACAGTTGCAACTCCTATACTCAATGCACTGTCCAATGAAGGCAAGCAAACCGAATGCCTTCTTTACTACCCTGTCTACACGCGACTCCACTTTCAAGGAACTATGCACCTGCATCCCAGGAACCTTTGTTCGGCAACACTCCACAGGGCCCAAACATTAACTATATAAGCTCTGGTCTGAATTGCCTTACCAAAATGCAACACCTCACATTTATCTAAATTAATCTTCATCTGCCCATCTGATCAAGGTCCCATTGTACTCTGAGATAACCTTCTTTGCTATACACTACACCACCAATTTTGGTGTTATCTGCAAACCTACTAACCATTCCTACACTCACATGCAAATCATTTATATAAATGACAAAAAGCAGTGGACCCAGCACCGATCCTTGTGGCACACCACTGGTCACAGTCTTCCAGTCTGAAAAATAACCCTCCACCTCTGTCTCCTATCTTCAAGCCAATTTTGTATCCAACTGGCTAGCTCCCCCTGGATTCCATGTGATCTAACCTTACTAACCAGTCTACCATGTGGAACCTTGTTGAACGCCTTGCCAGCCCATGTAGACAATGTCAACTGGTTTGTCTTCACCAGTCTTACTTGTCACTTCTTTAAAAAACTCAAACAAGTTAGTGAGACATGATATCCCATGCACAAAGCCATATTGACTCTCCCTAATTATCCTTGCTTTCCAAATACATGTAACCCCTGTCCCCCAGAATCCCCTCCAACAAATTATCCACCACTCACACAGGCTCAACGGTCTATAGCTCCCTGGCATTTCCTTACCACCCTTGTTAAATAATGGTACAATGTTAGCCAACCTCCAGTCTTTCAGCATCTCACCTTTGTCTATTGACGAGACAAATATCTCAGCAAGGGGCCCAACAATCTCTTTTCTAGCTTCCAACAAAATTCTGCGATATACCTGACCAGGTCCTGGGGATTTATCCACCTTCATGTGTTTTAAGATGTCCTCACCTCTTCTTCTGTTAAATGGACACTTTTCAAGATATCACTATTTATTTCTCCAAGTTCTGTAGCTTCCATATCTTTCTCCACAGTAAATACTGGCAGGAAATACCCATTTAGTATCTCGCACATCTCCCCTGGTTCCACACATATATTTGTGATCATAAAACAATCATAAAAACAGATACAGCAGAATGATAAGGTCCTCACTATATGCAAATACCAAATGAGTTTTAGAGGATAACAAGTGGAGTAAGGGACTGTGGGCACAGGTTGGTGTTTGGATGTGGAGTCACTGACAAGATATACTTGTTCAAAAGATATAAAGGACAGAAAGCATCTTTCGTTGAATATGATACAGATTAATATGGAAGGCTACCCAGGTATCTTGCAGCAATACTCCCAGGCACCAGCTGTATGGTAATGTAACATCATTAAGGCTATTTACTTCACAGCTCAGAGAATCTTGTCTCTGGAAGAGTTTCTGTTAGTCACCCCATCTTGACTGTGCTGTCTTTCCTACACTGAATCTAGGCAGAAAATACAACCACAGTCAAACCAGTGGCATGGATTACCTGATTTTACATTCTAAATTCTACAATGCAATGGGCTTGCACTAAGGTGTTCAGTCAGTTACAGCAGGATAGCCATCGTCATAAGCAATTCAAACGTCCAATGTTTAAGCGTGTCCCAATGAGAATGCAGTGCAGTCCTTCAATCCTGTTCTGCCATTCAGTAGGATCATGGCTGATCTGATCTTGACCTCAAATTTGTTTTCCTTCCCTTGCTCCGTAATCCTTGATTTCTTTTAATTCAAAAATCTCTAACTCAGTCTTGTGTATATCCAATGAGAAGGCAAGTCAACTCTGATATATTCATATTCATCCTGGGTCCTGACCTGTGAAAGATAAAACATGTTTGGCATTGTGGCTTTTCCAGTTAAACTAAAAACCTGGAGGATAATTGTTCTTTGTGAATTCTGCTTCGGCAGGGCAGCGCCCAGTGTGCCAACAAGGACAAAAATTACCACCAGCAGCTCCCCCACATTCATGGGAATGGCCGGGCAAACCCTGGACAAGGTTACACATCGACTATGCCGACCCTTTCATGGGCTCAACATTCTTAGTCGTTGTGGATACCCATTCAAAGTGGTTGGACGTACGTAGAGTACATTTATCAAACACGGGATCGATGATGGAAAAGCTGCGAGCATCTTTTGAAATACACGGGCTTCCAGAAATGTTGTTCACAATCAATGGGCCATCATTTACCAGCAGGGAATTTGAGTATTTCCTATAGGCGAATGGCATTCGGCATATAAGGATAGCTCCAATGGTTTGGTCGAAAAAGCAGTGCAAATTTTGAAGACAGGCTTAAAGAAACAGTCTACAGTCTCACTCGATATCAAACTGACATGGTTCCTATTTGGTTATCAGACTACTCCTCACGCAACTACAGGGATAGCTCCAGCAGAGTTGCTAATGGGGAGAAGACTCTGCACCAGGTTAAAGGTGACCTTCCTTGACCTGGGAGGGTGAGGGTGAAATGGCAGCAGGAACGCCAGTGCCACATACAAGACTCCTCTAAGCGGGACACACAGGGAATGAAGTTTAGTGTCAAAACCACTAGAATGGCCCAGCATAGGTAAGAGGCATGCTCAACACGAGATCAGGTTCCATGACATACAATGTTCAGGTAGGTCAGGCAGCCCTGAACAAGTACATGGACCACATGAAAGCTGCAACCTAGCAACTGGGTAGGAATTAAACATACCCAGCACCTCAAAACAGCCAGAAAGGCAGTCAGAATCCATGGGTTCTCCGCCTCCATCTAGTGTTGAGAAAACCTCAATGATTGTTGTAAGAACTCATCTGATTCACTAATGTCCTTTAGGGAAGGAAATCTGCTGTCCTTACCTGGTCTGGTCTACATGTGACTCGCATTACTTACAATAATGGCCCAAAAGCCATTCAGTTGTATCAACCACTAAAAAGCAACAAAAGATGAATGAAACCGGATGGACCACCTGTCATCAACTGAGACACTGGAAACAATGATAAACATAGCCCTGTCTACCTTGAAAAGTCTTCTTTATTAACATCTGAGTTAATATTGGGAGAGCTGTGTCACAGACTAGTCAAGCAACAACCTGACAGTCATACTCACGGAATCACATTTTACAGACAATGTCCGAGACACCACCATCACCATCGCTGAGGTGATGGCACAGTGGTATTTACTCAGGAGGAAGTTGCCCTAGGAGTCCTCAACATTGACTCAAAACCCCATGACATCTCAAGGCATGAGATCAAACATGGACAAGGAAACCTTCTGCTGATTGCCACATACAGCCCTCCCTCGGTTGATGACTTTGTGCTCCTCTATGTTAACAACACTTGGAGGAAGCAGTAAGGGTGATAAGAGAGTGAGAGAATGTACAGTGGGTGGGGCATTTCAATATCCACCACCAAGAATGACTCAGCAGCAGCACCACTGATCAAACTGGTCCAGTCCTAAAGGACATAACTGCCAGACTGGGTCTGCAGCATGTAGTGAGTGAACCAAACAAGAAAACTTGACCTTATCCTTACCAATCTGCCAACTGCTGATGCATCTGTCCATGGGAACATCGGTAAGAATGACCACTACACAATCCTAGCAAAGTCTCATCTTCACACTGGGAAATAGGACAGACTTTGAATAGAGGTAGCAACTCAAGACTGGGCATCCATGAGGCATTATGGGCAATCAACAGCAGCAGAACTGTACACCAGCACAGTCTGTAACCTCATGGCCTGGAATATCCCCCACTCAACCATTACCATCAAGCCAGGGGATCAGCCCTGGTTCAACGGAGAGTACAGGAGGACATGCCAGGAGCAGTACCAGTCATACCTAACATTTAGGAGTCAACTTGGTGAAGCAACAACTGGTAGGCCAGCAACAGAAACATCAAGTGATAGACAGAACTAAGTGATTCCACAACCAACAGATCAGATCTAAACTCTTATAGCCCT